GAGTAACAGAAATGAGGTTTTCTCTCCTCCAGAAATTAGCAGTTCCCCAGCCCTAAGAAAGTGAAAAGTGCTGCTCCTGATACTGCTTCTGCCTTCTGTGCAAAGACAGAAATGCAGAGAAGTTTGAGGGGGAGGGGATTTGATTTCTTTTTTAATGTCTGCCTCCTTCCAGCAAGTCCATCTGTTGTAGCACTATAATTCTGGAAGCAGGATGTGTGTGTGACCAACAGGAGACAATTACTGCAAAAGTGTTTGTTGATTCAGCTCTATAAAGGGCAGGCCAATCACTACAGTATGAATAGAAAAGAATTCCAGCTGAGGAGCTGCATATAGATTATCACAAAATACATATATATAAATGAGAATGGGGAAAAACAGAAAGGAGTAATAGTATGGGAAAAGATTAAGTAGGAATGAAGACTGAAGTAGAGAAGAAAGCTGGCATCTTTGGGGCTGTTAACCAAATAGTTTACTAGTCTCTATTTTCACAAATCTTGTTCTATAGCTTTCCACCTTGACAGAGAGAGATGGGATTAAATAGATGTGGAACTGGTCTGAGCCCCCTTTGGAAGAAAACTCCAGTTGCCTTGAGCACCCCAGTCTTGGGGCAATATGAAGACAACTGGTTTCTCCAAAAGTGACTGTTCTTCACAGAAGAATGAGTGCTTGTTCATGTGGACTGACCAGATTCTCAGGAAAGTTCTCACACCACAGGCTAAAAGTGAAACTTCCTTCACCCACCTGAATGCAGGTAAAATGTCAGCACGAAGACCACTTCTTTTTCTGAAGGATTAATGAATTGTGTTGATACAACAGTAAATCAGGCCTCAGTATCATTTGTACATAATAACTGATTCTGAATCTCATATAAAGCATGCTAAAATATAACATTTCATAATTTTGACCATAAATTGAGACCAAAACCAATGTTATCAAAATTCCACAGAATTACAACAGAAATAAGCTGAACATTATAAGACACCATAATGAAAAATACTTTACCTCTATGGTCAGTTTACTAGTTTGAAGTCTCTGATCAGCCAAATGTAGCTGAGTTGTAAGTTTTTCATTGGTTTCTTTAAATTCTTTCATAGAAGACACTGCTGTCTTTTTTTCATTCTGTAAATCAGTTATCTGCTGCTGCAATGACTTAATTCTTTCCTGCAGCAGAGTAACAGAGTAGCCCGGTTTCTGGACAATGATATTTCTCCTTTTTGTTCTGTTTACTAAACATAAAATGGCATGTTACTAAACTGACAGATCATCACAAATAAGATGACTTCTGATTTTTCTTTGGCCTTCCAAAACAGTGTTCTAGACTCTAAAATATTTCTCAGTAAGCAAACTGGGAAATTAATTCAGTTAAGCTGTAATTGCTCTATGTTGTTCTTTTTCTGAAGTGCCAACACTGAAAACTCAACAAGGACTTGGAAGTTAAATGTGGCTCAGGTTTCTGATCATTATTACCAGAAATAAAGGCTTCACTATCTTGTTAACAGATTTTTTTTTTTTTTTTAAGGTTTAAGCCAAAATACAGTTAATTTTGTTTCATTGGCTGTGTTGGCTATGAGGGGCAAACAAGAACAAAAGGTAGTGAAAAGCCTTATTTTAGTCAGTAGATTCAATAGGTGGGACAGTAAAAATAGAGTATATTTTAACTGTGTGAAAGATGCTGTTTGACAGTCACTTTTTATACGACAATTTCACTTTAAAATAATGAGCTAAATCTTTGAAAATATAAACATGCAGATTTAAACAAGCAAATCCTGCAACAGCATATAAGTGGGTTTGTGAAAATAGAAGAGGTTTTGGAATATTAGGCAGGAATGTAGGAATGCTTTGTCAATCTTACTTATGAAGTTGCCAAAAATATATAGTATTCCTACCTTTGCTTAGAATTGATGGATAAGATGTTACGAGACAGCAGATCTTCCTCCTCTTGGAATGTAACTTTTCCAGGTCTTTATTCTGTGAATGGCCCTAAATGAAAAGCAGAAGCACAAAGCTAGCAACTTTTCACTATGGCACACCATCCACAATACTCCAAAGTTTTCCAGTTTGAATTGAAACAACAAAAATTACTCAAATAATACACAAAAATCTAGTTAATTTTAAGTTGAAAATCAGTCCTACAACATCAGCCAGTGAAGAATACAAATTTCTGTCTTTCCCATCAAATGAGAAGAAATAATTTAACTGTTATAGGTAAATCATAACCCTTTCCAAAGTATCCCAGAGAAAAATGAAGTGTCTGTTAACACCTACATTACTTTTTTAGATAAGATATGAA